CACTTCAAATATTTTGCTTAATGTAATGCTGTAATATAAAAACATGTTGACCTGATATTTTTGTACCCTGACCCGTACCTCTCACTTCAGCGGAGTTTGAGTTTGAGATCTTCCATAAGATCTGACCCAGGAGGCCCCATGATCTCCAAGCCCAGGGGTGGTCATTCCAACTTGAGTGATTGAGAGGACAGGGGCGCATTTACCACAGCCAGAGAGATCATGTCCCAACACCAGTGACAGTCTGATTAATGTAGAATTTATCAATATGAAAGGACAATGCAGAATCACTTGACATGAATAAGACCAACAGCATGACAGAGAGGTAACAAGGTGATGAAGCACTGAGAATGATCCCAGAAGAAAGTTTTATTTTCTTTCTGACGTAATTTTCCCAAAGACAATTTATAAAACAAGAAAACACTGCTATGTAAAATAGTAACAAGAGAACAAGAAAGAGTTCTTACAAAAGAGAAAACACAATTGCCAAAACAATAAGAAACTCATTAAGAGCTGAATAGCAGAACAGGCACAACTAAGGAACAAATTAGTGTTTAGAAGATCAAGTCATACAATCCTGTTAGATCATTGAACAGAAGTGCAAAAATATGGAGATTACAAATCCTAAGTGGAGACAAGAATAAAAGACAGAAATCATAATATCTACTTAATATATATTGAGAAGGAGAAATAAAGAGAAAACTGAATCAAGAAAGTAGTAGAAGAAAATTACTCTGAGATGGAAAAAGACTTGATCTTCCTCTAGAGTCTCTGGTGTGACGTGGGAATATCAAAAGGCTGTGAGGAGATCTTTGCTGCTGAGATGCTTAACTTTTGATGTCTGGGAATGTTCTTTTTTCCCCTAATTTTCTTAATCATACCTATAAATTGAATATTTTATTCTGTAAAATATCTATGGATTTTTCCCAATAATGAAATATTACTTTCAATCTGATATTCATTATTACATTCAAAGTTGTTGACTTGATACTTTTTTTTAACTTAAGACAGAAATCAGGGATTATAAATCTATCGCTTTATTAAAGCATAAACTGACAGTGTAGTATGAAGTTTACATTTAAACAAAGTTTTCTCAGAAATCTAACACAAGCCTAGATGCCTTTACAATGTAGCTCTAGATGCAGTATCTAAACAATACCAAGAACCGATGGATCTCAGGACTCAAGACACAGAGCATTTGGGGTATCATTTAACTCTTAGAATTTTTTTATAAAATGGTTTGTTTGCGTGTGTGTGTGTGTGTGTGTGTGTGTGTGTGTGTGTTTTAAAGTAAACCACTGCCCCAGTATGAAAATTTAATCTTCTCCTGAGACCAAGGCTTTTGAAATAATTCAACCCTTGAATTAATTCAGTGAAACTTGTGCTGTCAGTGACTTTAGATTTACAGATAAAGATATCTCAGAATATTAGAATAGAATAACCTTACAGATTTTGAAATGCACAAAGGGAAAAGAACAAGTTGGTTTTAGGAGCCACTTAGCATAGCTCAATATTGACAAGCTGCATAAAAATTAAAAGAGGCCTGGGATTAGTCTATATTCAAGTCGAGATTTAAAAGAACAACAACTACCTAGACTCTACTCTGTCTGCTAAATGTGCATAAACAATTTTTGCATGGAATATTTTTTAGAGTCTTCCAGATTTGTTCAAATAAGGCATTGGTCTATTTTATTCTGCTTTTAGCAAACATCTGGTACAGAGCAATACAGCTCATGGGTAATCACTCAACATTTGCTAGTTAACTACAAAATGCTCAGTCTATTTTACACTTATGAGAAAGCTACAACCAATACTTTTCTTTGAGGGAGAGTGATTGGGGGGCAAATTATAACCAAGCTGAGTTTCCACAAATGGAACAATCTCTTCACATTAAAATATGTCGAGTCGAGTCAGTTTATTTAAGCAATGATTTTATAGCCACACACTCATTTAATAGTTTGAGTTCCTCACTTCATAGTCCTTGGAACTTAATCCCTTCCTGCATACTTACAAAATTTCACAAAAAAAGTTTAATAAGTTGATAAAGAAAACAGAGGAGGAGAGAGTTCACAAATTCATACAAAATAAACTTTTGACTCTGTGAAACATTCTCCTAAATATTTGTTTTAAAATATTCTTTCTTGATGTCTTATTGGAGTTTTCAACTTCCTGGTTAAAATGTGATTCTATCGTCTTACCCAAGGACTGGGAAAATGGAGCCAGATCACAGTCCAAGGTTGAGAAGATTTGATTATCGTTGCTGTTGTTAGTTTAAGGAAATTAAACATAATTTGCCCCAAGTTTCATCTTTTACAAAGGCATCCCCATGGAAAGTATGTTTTAGTGTCCCAAATGAACTAACAAAAACCTGATCAGGAAAATGAATCCTAGTTTCTACCACTGTGATTTCTCATAAAACATCGGATTTCAATAAAATGAAACTGAATAACCACAGTCCTGAGATTGACTCATCAGACTTTCCCAATAGTAAGTAGCAAGGAAGGGCACAGCTGGCAAAGAGAAACTGAAATCCAGTTACCCTACTCAGCTATTCTGGACAAAATGAAACAGATTAAATGGTTTTTCTTTTTTAGAAAGTATCTGTGTTCTCTCATTCCTGATTTGTTGTTTCAGATATTCCTGGTTTACTCTGATAACTCACATTCTCCCACAGGCAATCCCTTATAGCTAGAACTGCTATTGTCAAGCTGAAGAGAAAGATGTTCATTGCATTCTACTTGTTTTCAGACCCGGACAGGATAAAAGCCACAGCCACTGGAGTTGGTGGCTCAGCCTGTAATGCCAGCACTTTGGGAGGCTGAGGCAAGTGGACGGCCAGAGTCCGCGAGTTCAAGCCCAGCCTGGGCAACTTGGTGAGACCTCGTCTCTACAATAAATCAAAAATTAGCTGGGCGTGATAGCCTGCACCTGTAGTTCCAGCTTCTGAGGCCGAAGGATCACCAGAGCCCAGCAGGTCAACGCTGCAGTGACCGTGAGCATGACACTGCACTCCAGCCTGGGCGACAGAGTGAGACTCCAACTAAAATACATAAATAAATAAAATAATAGTAATAATAATAAAAGCCACAGTTATTAGCAAATATATCTCCTTGACATATTTCTGTTGGGAATGAAGAAGAGGTAAACTATATTCATGTGTTAATATGATTGATTAATTGAAAGCATCAGATTTGCATTAATTCATTCAACAAATATTTTGAAACTGATTTTGAAGTCCACAGATATAAAATAAAGACTGTCTGAAATGGTATCTTGACACACACAACCACCATCTATGCCCATTTTAAACCTGGGTTTGTGTTTCCCCAATCTGCACCAGGGTTGGGAAGCAGGTGACATATGAGTAGAATACAAGCAACCCCCAAGTGCTCATCTTTCCAAGTCCTTCTTCCTTAGACAGTCCAAGTAGGAACAATTATACTCCCCCTACCCTTGACATTTTGTTAACTATTTAGGGTAACCAAAAATCACCTCCATTCCCTGGCTATTGCTACTATTTAGGGTAGCCAAAAAGTACCTCCATTCCCTGGCTGCTGCTGGTCACTTCTCCCTCTATTACTCTGGGCTTCCCTCTGCAGTCCTTCTTATTCCACATGTGATCAACTTGTCTGCCTTCACTTTCCAAGGCACAGCTAACACTGGGTTGTAATACATAACAAACATTTCTAAGGATGTGAGGATAATATTAGGGAATGATTATATTGAAAAGAAAAACTTCAAACTGTATCTTTGATCTTTCTGCCCCTTACAACTGTCTGCCTGCATCCTTTCACATGAGGTTTCCTGGGGTCACTTCCTCCTGTAGCTCCTAGCCTATAGCCATAGTTCCACCCCCACAAAGCCTTGGGGTTCCCCACTGACTCTGTTCTTCACCGGGTCTTCAGGGCCCTGACATTCTTTCTACAAAGGCTTCAGCCAAGAAAAGTGAAACTGCATAACCTCATCTCCCAGAAACACTGGCTGCCCATAAGAAAGATAGCCTTTTGCATTTTTATGCAGAGAAGTTTTGTTCCTCTTTGTCCCAAACCTCTCCCTTCTGTGACAGAATTGAGGTGGGACCCAGAACGGAAATGTAGTCTTTCCCGAAGACAAATTCTGCCACCATATCTAGAACAATAGGCTCAAATTTTAAACAATTTGGATTTTGTGACCACCGTAAGTACAAACCAATTGGCCGGGACCAAGCAGCCCAAGGGAAACGGCAATTGCCCAGAAGAGCAGAGTTAGGTCCAGACAAGCCTAGCCATGGTGACTGATGATGAGTAAGGCGGTCTGGACAAGCTGTGTCGAAGCAGACCCTGGAATAGCAGGCAGGGAAGGAGGCAGGGGAAATATTCCAGAAGACAGGCAGAGGACCAGAAACCAGAGATGTGCAAATACAGAAAGTTCAGGTCAGGAACAAGGAAAGGTGCAAGCTGGGAAGAAGTGAAGTTAATTCCCAATGCCTTTCTAGGTTCTTAGTCTCAAGCTACCAGGAACTTCTGGTGGGCACATCTGTCCTTAGACAATGATAACTGGCAGGGTGAAGTGGAAGGCTATGAATTTTGTGCATGTGTATGTGGGACTTGTTTCCTAAATTTGTCCATATATCCATGTTTCCTTTGGAAAAATTTTTAGAAGTGAAATACCTGCTTAAAAGAGTGTGAATGGTATTTTAATATTGACATAAGCCATCCAGGCACAAGAAGCAATTCTACTTTTACAATAAATTTACTTTTTTCTGACGCCTGTGAGGAATCACATGATCATCGCTACCATACTTCCTAGCCTCATGTAATTCTCTATCCACTGATGACTTAAACAATCATTATAGAGGAAGTGAGTTTAGTCAGAAAGTGTTGAAATGGTGGAAATTCTAGAGTTAGGACAAAATGAAAAGAAATGGGTTTTAGAGGAGTGATGGGTATAAAAGCAATCAGTCACCCAGCAAACACATTACTGCTCTAATTCACTCCTGAGCTAAACCTCCTCTTTAGAACAACATGGCGCTCAAGGTATTGTGACATTTTCTTTGGCTTACTTAAATTGCTTTTCTTGCTTGCTTTTTCCTTTCTTTTAAGAACTACCTGCTTCTGTTTCAAAAATGGCATTTTAACTTCTCTCATAGTCTCTGGACTCTCTAATTAACTGCATGGTGGCTTTCATCAGTGTTTTACATGATTCTGCTATATATAATTAAGAAGAAGATAATGGTATAAGTTCACTGAATTTTAATCCCCTAGTTTTATGTGTCCATCATGACATTTCCAGATTGCATTTTTTTTCTTTTCTTTCCTTCTCTCTCTTTCTCCCTCTCTCTCCCTGTCTCACGAGGGTAGTGTCACAATCACAGTTCACCTCAACCTCCTGGGCTCAGGAGATCCTTTCACCTCACCTCAGCCTCCGAGTAGCTGGGACTACAGGCATGCACCACCAAGCCCAGCTAGTTGTTTGTAGAGATAAGGTCTTGCTATGTTGCCCAGGCTGGTCTCAAACTGCTAGACTCAAGCAATCCTCTTATCTCAGTTTCCCAAAATGCTGGGATTACAGGTGTGAGCCACTGTGCCCAGCTCAGATTTCATTCCTAATTATCTATTTACTGTCACAACCCCCTGTAGAAGATAAACTTTTTTGAGCCAGAAGGCGCAAACCTGGCTTAGCTTTCTTGAAAACTTAGTACAGTCCTGGACACATAGCAAGAACTAGTGAAACGTATTTATTCAATGACTGCATATTATGCCTTAACTTATACATTAAAAGTCACTGTATTTAACTAAAAAGAGATGTAAATGCCATGGGAAAAATCAAACATTTCTGGACTTTCAAGACCAGAAAACTATTTTAAAAATAGATGAACACAAGGCTCACACACAGCCAAGCAGTTGCGTGTTTATTGCCCTCGTTTTCCCTTCCTGTAGGTTCCAAGGAGTGCCGTGTGTTTTTGGCAAACAGGGTGGTGATCAGTACTTTCAGGGGATCCCAGGGGCCTCGCCTTCCTAAGTCATCAGTAGCATGGTTTCGTGTGGATGGATGGAACAATCACTGCCCAGCTGCTGGGCATCACATTTCCCAGTAAGGCACTCCTGGGTTAGACAGAACCCTGAAGAGATGAGCACTCAGTCTCTAAATGTCCTCAACTGTGGGACTTATGGGGCTGCGAAGAGAAAAAAGAGGTAATTTTGCTTAGAACCAAGGATCAACCAGTCCTCAAAACTCTAAGATTTAGCCCTCCCTTCCCTACTTCCTCTACCCCTAAACATGTTTACTCAAATTTCTAGCAGCGTGAAATTCAACATTATTGTTATTCTCCCACCTAATCTAAACTTTTGTGCCAGCATCCATGCTCTCTGCTAGCCATCTTCTCTTGCGCTTTCTCCCACTCTAAACTCCCCTCACCTTCCCATTAAAGCTATCAGACACACAAAAAGTAGCCCATCCTTTTAAAAAATGACAGACAACTTGGTGCAGGTGTGGCTCACACCTATAATCCCAGCACCTGGAGAGGCTGAGATGGGAGGATTGCTTGAGCCCAGGAGCTTGAGACCAGCCTGGGCAACATAGCTAGACCTCATCTTTATTTATTTATTTATTTATGTTTACAAAGGCCGTCACTTCCTGACTTGATAAATCTGGAAACTCAAAGAATGGACCTAGTCAATGGCCAGGTTGAAGAACTTTCAACTGGACACTGGCTCCATCTCTATAACTCTGCCCTGGCATTGAACTCAGTGTCAGAGACCCCCAACACCCCAAGATGCTTTCATCCAGTAACCCCTCACCCTAATACTAAGATTTTAAAATAAGGTATCTGATGCTCAGAAAGACAAAGTAAGTTGTGCCCGGATGTAATAACCAGAGCTAGAAAGGGAAGCAACCCACAACTTACTAAGTGGTACTGTGAGGCATCCAGTGAAGCCTGACTTAGGAGTGGATGTTTTTAACTATGCATAATAGATGTTTGCAAAGACGTGTAGAAAACAGAATAATTGCCTATGCATTGAAAACTTGATATATAAAGGAATCACAAAGTACTCTGCTACTTATGAAAGGCAAATAATCTTGCAAATTTTTATCTGGTTTGTGGGTTGAAGCAGAATGGTCTTTCCAGCAGAATGGGCACAGGCACTACCATTTCTCCACCTGGAACCTGGGCTACTGCAGCAGTCTCTTTAACTGCTCTCATCTACCCTTCTTCAATCCATTCTCTGCACCAGGGTTCCCCAACCCCCTATAAGGAACAGGGCTGCATGGCAGCATGTGAATGGCAGACAAGCTAAGCAGAGTTCTGCCTCCTGTCAAATTAGTAGTGGCATTACATTCTCATAGGAGCGCCAACCTTACTGTGAACTGCACATGTGAGGGGTCTAAGTCGTGCACTCCTTATGAGAATCTAAAGCTTGATATCCCCCCTCCTCCTCCTCCCCCCCCACCCCCCACTCCCCAGCTCTCACCCCCACCCCCAACCCTGCTGTGGAAAAATTGTCTTCCACGAAACCATTTGATGCTAAAAAAGTTGGGGATTGTCCCTCTATACAATTACCTACAAAGATCTTTCTAAAACACAGTTGTGACCCTGTCTCTACCTTTCCTAAGACAGCGCTGTGACTCTCTGATGACATCACAGTCTTCCGCATGGCATAATGCTCGTCATTCAGTCCTAGACTGCAAATCCATTCCCTCTCACCCCTGTTCCCTGCATGCAGCTCTCCAGCTGAAACGTGCCAGATCCCCTCCACCCTCTCATACTTGCAAGAGTTGGCCCAGCTGCTACCTCTGCCTTTTACCTGCATTTTCATCTCCCGCACCATCCTCTGCTGACTCCTCTAAGTTTTCACAACCAGTCCAAGTATCAAGATCTCCAGACAGCTTTCACCAACAAGAAAGAGCAGGCAGTCGTTCTCAAGACCCATAGGCCAGTTAAAACTTTCTGGTAACCATAGTTTTACAAGTAAGAAGGAACTGATGGAATTCATAATATGTTTTGTTTATGCCACATAGTAGCACATGATTGGCACATATCAATGTATTGAATATTGATTCAACATATAATCAATATTTTAAAATTATTGAGATGCTTTATATTTTTTCCAACTAAGTCTTCAAAATTCAGTCTTTATTTTACTGTTATGCCACATCTCAATTTGGGCTAGCCCCATATCAAGTGCCCAATAGCCACATGTGGTGAGTAACTACTATATTGGACATAAGAGCATCAGAAGCACTTGAGAATTACCAAGAAGTCCTAATGAAAACAGAATCCTGTTCTGGGCTTTCAAAGGTTCTATTTCTGGGGAGAATCTAGTTATGGTGGGCTAGAGTGGGGATCAGAAATGTTCATTTTCACCTCAGGCATCCATGACCATACCACCCTGAATGCACCTGATCTTGGAAATATCCATTTTTCAGCAAGAACTCCAGGAGGTTCTCAGGCACATATTCCCTAGACCACGCTTTAGAAAAGATGGGCTTAATAGCTAGATGCACTGATTTTGGAGTCAAACCAGTAGGGGTTTGCATTCAGATTCCACCATTTAAAAGCTGTGAAAATGAATGACTTTAGCTGTCTAAATCTCACTCTCTTCACCTGCAAAAATACCTACCTAGACACTTGTGATTATTAAATGGATAGTTTGTTTGCAACACTCAGCACAGTATCTGGCACGCATCTAAAAATGGCAGCTGACTGAATGCACTGTACCCCAGAAATCCTCACTACACTGGCAAGGTGTCCCATCCTCTCCAATTCTCTATGCCTCCTTCTACAATTGCCCTCCACACATTGTTGTCATTACCTGCTTGCTAGCCTATTCCTCAACTCAACCGAGGACAGAAACTGGCTACTGTACATTGTCACATCCTTGGGGTTCACACAGAATAGGTGCTTAGTACCCATTATTTTTTAGAAATTGAACTGGTTTCTTCTAGTGGAGCAAAAACTCTCTATACAAAAGGTCTCTTATAAAAAAGAAATGTGTAAGTACAAAGTGGATTGCAGCACTGTTCTGACCCTCTTCTCTTTAAAGTGTGTCACAGAAAGCTTTGCCAACGCGATCCATGGCTTGAAAGTGGGACACCTGACAGATCGCGTGATTCAGAGGAGCAAGAGGATGATTCTAGACACTCTGGGTGTTGGCATCCTGGGAACCAGCACAGAAGTGTTTCACAAAGCCAGCCAATATAGTAAAGTAAGAAGCTCAAAGTCTACTTCAGAGATAAAGCCAAGTGCACACATGTATGCTTTATTCCTCTATGCTCAATACTTGATGGATAGAGCATTGTTCTGTATTGTTCTACGATTTTCTGTGTTTCATTATCTGAGCTTTAATATTCATCCATGTCTTTTACTAAGTCACTATCTTAAAATTATTCACTAGTAATACCTCTTGGTTTATGATGACGATGATGATGATGATGATGATGAAAAGCACCTTTTAACCAGAGAGTCTTAGCAGCAATAGCACTTGCCACAGACCATTTGTTCATACAAGTCTGTAGGATTCTCTGGAGAAAAGGCTGGCCAAGTACGTGAACATGCACATGGGCGATGTGGCCTCTGCCCTCCACAGAATGTACTTGATATAGATAGCTAGCTCCCCTTCTTTGGTATTTACACCAAGGTGTAAATAAGAGTAAATTCAGACATGCTTCCCTGGAGCATTTCTGGATCATGATCTGGAATCAAAACCAGCCTCTGTTCTCCTTTCCATGGGGAAAGTTGTGTATTCTCTACAAGGAAGAGAGAAATCCAATGACTAAGACTTATATCTATTACAAAGGGCTTGAATAAGAACTATTAATACAGTCAGGTGCAGTAGTTCACTTGTAATTCCAGCACTTTGGGAGACTGAGGTGAGAGGATTGCTTGAGACCAGGAGTTGATGACCAGCCTGAGCAATGTAGTAAGATTTCCTCTCTACAAAAAAAAAAAAATTTTTAATGGGCCAGGAGTGGTGGCATGCACCTATAATCCTAGCTGTGGTCGAGGTAGCGGTGAACCATATCATGCCACTGCACTACAGCCTGGGAGACAGAGTGAGATGTCAACTCAAAAAACAAAGAACACTATTAATATAATGCCTCCAAAGATGAAGAATACCTAGAAATGGTGACACAGTATGTTGTATTCACACTCTCTGATCACAGACTTGATATGCTTTTGTTCCAGATCTACAGTTCCATTATATCCAGCACTGTCTGGGGCCAGCCAGACATCAGGCTCCCACCCGCGTATGCTGCTTTTGTGAACGGTGTGGCTGTAAGGAGGCTTATGTGTTTCTTCTTCTTCCTCCTCCTCCTCCTCCTCCTCTTCTTCTTTGGTATCAAACTTCTTTTATTGTGATGATCAGAATATAGCATCATCAGTTAGTAACAGTCTAACTACTGTATTTATCACATAGACCATGCCCCATCACGTATATTTTCTAGATTTGGATTATTTAAAGATTAATGAGAATTTAAAGATAGATGTAGAACAATTTAAAACAGGATACTTTACAATTTTCTTTCTCAAACCTAATGTTACAGCGTTTGTTAGTGGCTTATTTATACTAAGAATTTGTCTTAGTTTTCAGATCAATGACAATTTCTCTGAAATTCTTTTTTTATTGTCCTCATATTTCATCCTTTGAAAACTAGCTTAAATAATTTTGGAAATAAACACAATTGGCCCTTGCTAGGTATACAGCTCCATAGGTGGTAGGAGACACGAGTGGATGAGTTAGAGGTAGCCCTTGCCACTAATGTGGAACATACCCTGGACTGCACAACTACTAGATAATCATAACAATTTTAGAGTCAGGAAGTATCTCAGAAACTGACCAACTTCCATAGTTTATAGATGAGATAATTAAAGTTCAGAATGATAAAGTGGCCTGCTCTCTCTCCTACGTAGTAATTTAGTTTTCATGCTTTTACAGTGAATGGATGTTTTCCAAGCAAATTGTAGAGTAGAGGAAATAAGATGGAAGGATATAGATTTAAAAAACACTCACAACATATCCTAAACTTGAATGTTTATAGGAAAGAATATAAAACTCAGTAAGTCTCCCTTCTTTCTGTTGTGAATGCAGTTTCTATCCAGGAATGTGTTCTTCATCCATTCACTCATTCATTCGTTAATTGAATAGGTATTTATTGAGAAAGAAAAAATGGCCAGGTAGTGTCTATATTTTCTGAACCAAAAATCAGCATGACTCATCTGACAGATGATTTTTATGCTTTTTGTGTCAGGGGCAGTATTCTGCAAGATAAAGTTTAGAAATGAACCTGCTGGGATCTTTTAGATATTTTTATGATTTATGAGGCCAACTAGCTGAGGATATTGAAAGTCAAACCCAATGGTGCATTTAGAAGTAAGTGCCCAGCAAGCAGTGGGCCATGCACCTGCCACATCACATAGACATAAAAATCTATTTTTAAATGAACTTCTGGTTATTACTAACTATTTTCATATAAGGACAAAGCAGATGGCTAGAATACAGAGGAATAAAACCTTAAAGCAGAAAATAATGATGTTAAAACTATAGCTTAATAGTTAACCTGGGTTTGAGAGTTCTTGTGTCATTCTGGCAACTTCTATAAAACCTTGAAAGGGCTTCATAATTAAAAAGTACAAAAATATTTGGCCCGAAATGGAATAAATGGCTTTAAACTTTTAGCATAACTTATTTAAAGGGTGGGGGAGGGAGGAGGAAGCAGTCACCTGACTCTACAGCTTTGTTTTTAAAGGGGAATAGAGATCTTTCCTGGGGCTGTAGCATCATAAACTGGGGCTACCTCAGCAAGACCCAAGCTCCCTGGGGCTCACTAGCTGCTCTCCAAGGTGCTGCCCTCCTCTGGGTTGAGGAAGTGTTTCCTCGTGCCCAGCCATGTGATTAAGAATCACAGCTTGGGCTCAGTGGCTCAGCCTGTAATCCCAGCACTCTGGGAGGCTGAGGCAAGTGGCTTGCATCAGCCCATGGGTTCAAGACCAGCCCAGGCAGTTTGGTAAGACCTTGTCTCTACAATAAGTCAAAAGTTAGCTGTGTGCCTGTAGTTCTGGCTACTTGGAAGGCTGAGATGGAAGGATTGCCAGAGGCCATGAGCTCATGGCAATAGAGGCCATGAGCATGCCACTGCACTCCAACTGAAACTCCAACTCAAAAAAAGAAAGAGAGAAAGAAAAGAATTACAGCCAGTCCTCACATTTTCTTTTCAGAGAATCATAGTTTAAAAAAAAACAAACCCCAAAAACTTATGTCAAACAAGGTTATTGCTAAGCTAAGCTTTTTTTGGTCCAAAAGTCATTGCATTCAAGGAAATTTTTGGTTTTGTTGTTATTTGTGTCTGTTTACATAGGTTCACTCAATGGATTTTGATGACACATGGCACCCTGCCACTCACCCTTCTGGGGCTGTCCTTCCTGTCCTCACATCTTTATCAGAAGCACTACCAAGAAGTTTGAAGTTTTCTGGTCTTGACCTACTGCTGGCTTTCAATATTGGTATTGAAGTGCAAGGTCGCTTAATGCATTTCTCTGAGGAAGCCAATGACATACCAAAGAGGTAAAGAGAGAAACTTTCCATTAAAAGGTGGTCACATTCCCCTCCTTCTGTCAGTAACGATCTCTGTACAGCTTTCTGACTAAAAGGATGGCTCAGCTGAAGACATTAGTTGACAGATAAGTCAATACACCAATCACATACAAAACTCTGTATCCATATGAAAAGGTGTGGCTTTTAGACTGCAAATGAAAATTTTCCTTTGAGTTTAGAGAGCCAATCAAGCAGCCAGGACCATCAAATACAGTAAGTCCCCTACATATGAACCTTCAAGTAATGAACTTTAATGATGCACACCTGCATTTTTTGATGTATTATTTCTCCCCACCAGATGTCAGTATAGCCCATTAAATACATACACTATATAGCTGATTAAGTTAGTTGGGAACCTTTCTGGCAATTGTTGTAACAGTGCCATTTATAAAGAATTTACCATGTGTTAGACACTGTTGTAAACATGTGAACTCATTCAGAGCTCCTAAAACCCTAAGATAGACATTATCATTATCATAATTCTATGTAAGAAAACAAGCAAGTACAGAATAACTCCCAAGATCACACAGCTAATGAGTGGTAGAGCTGAGATTCGAACCCAGCCAGACAGTCGGACTCCATGACGGATGCTCTGCACTACTGTGCTATACTTCCCCCTGATGGTGAAGTTTTGTGAATTTCCAACTCTGCTCCTTTTTTTTCAGATTCCATCCCCCATCGGTGGTAGGAACTTTGGGTAGTGCTGCCGCGGCGTCCAAGTTTTTAGGACTTAGCCTAACCAAGTGCCGAGAGGCCCTGGCCATTGCTGTCTCCCATGCCGGGGCGCCCCTGGCCAACGCTGCCACTCAGACCAAGCCCCTTCATATTGGCAATGCCGCCAAGCATGGGCTGGAAGCTGCTTTTCTGGCAATGCTGGGTCTTCAAGGAAACAAGAGGGTCTTGGACTTGGAGGCGGGATTTGGGGTCTTCTATGCCAATTATTCCCCCAAAGTCCTTCCAGACCTGGATTCCTACAGTTGGCTGCTGGACCAGCAGGACGTGGCCTTTAAGCGTTTTCCCGCGCACTTGGCCACTCACTGGGTGGCAGACGCAGCTGCATCTGTGAGGAAGCGCCTCGTCACAGAGAGTGCTCTGCTTCCCATGGACCACATCCAGAGAATTGTGCTCAGGATTCCAGATGTCCCGTATGTAAATAGGCCCTCTCCAGACTCAGAGCATGAAGCCCGTCATTCCTTCCAGTATGTGGCCTGTGCCATGCTGCTGGATGGTGGCATCACTGTCCCGTCATTCCACAAATGCCAGATCGACAGGCCGCAGGTCAGGGAGCTGCTCTGCAAGGTGGAACTGGAGCACCCTCCGGACAACATGCCAAGCTTCAACACACTGTACTGTGAAATAAGTGTCACCCTCAAGGATGGAGCCACCATCACCGACCGCTCTGATACCTTTTATGGTCACTGGAGGAAACCACTGAGCTGGGAGGACCTGGAGAAAAAGTTCAGAGCCAATACTTCCGGGACACTGTCTTGTGACACAGCGGAAAGTCTCATAAAGATGGTAGAAAAACTGGAAGACCTAGAAGACTGTTCTGTGTTAGCCACACTTCTCAAAGGACCCTCTCCATCAAAGGCAGTTTCAAAACTATTCAGTATGTAATAATTTCATCCCACAATCTTTCCAGAGGCTTGCTAACATCTAAATGACTTTGTATTGAGGGAGACTAAATGATGTACTTTATAAAGCAAGGGTCTGCTGCTTGTTCTGTCCTGGAATAAATGAAGCAAGATAGAGAGAATTTAGAAACATAACTATATATATTTGGAAGGAGACTGGGCCTTCCAAATAATTTTGTAGGACAGTAAATTTTGTAGGACAGTCTGAATTACCTAAATCAAGATGATAAAATGGAAGAAACACAAAAGTTGATTTTATAAGCATTCATAAGGGTGAAATTCAAGACTTGATTTGATTATAAATTAATCTTTTAGAGGAATTATTTACAAACTTCATGACCTCAAGCCTTTAGAGGAATGTGAATGTGTATATATATTTTCTGACAGTGGAGAAGGGCTCTGATCTGTTTGGCCACCAACAGATTTCTTAGACTCTGACATATTACCAAGCCCTCCACGGTATAGGAATCGATGGGGGTTGGGAGCAGGTTAGTGGGTTTAAATTCTACCTTGGCCACTACAAGATGATGCCCTGGGCATGTTACCAGGTATCCTTCTACCTCAGTTTCTCTATTTGTAAAGCAGAAATAAAGATCAGTCTGAAAAAAAAAAAAAGCAATTTGGTTCTAGACCCCCATCATCTTAACCACTACAATGTATCACCTTTCAGTACAACATTTTTTTGAGAAAAATATCTCAAATGAAGAGTCAGAGAAACAATAAAAACGCAAAGGAGGGAAAGAGGCAATTGTATGAGTAAATACTCATATAAAATAATACAAATGTCATGTGGGGTTAAAAATGCAACATTAGCCATCAAAGTTAATATGTTATGAATTTTTGGTATTGTTTGAGAAAAAAGTCATTCACTCTGTGTTAATTCATAAGTGAGCATACTAAAATTTCTAGAGTAACCATGTGAGAACAGCAGAAGAGTGTATCACTTCCAGGTTAACAGAGGGAGAAAAATGAAATTAGGAAAAAAAAAAAATAATCCAAAGGAAGGCAAGAAAGGAGAGGGAAAATAATATCAAAAAGACAGGACATACAGAAAGCATATGATAAAAATGGCTTTAAAAAATCAAATACATCTATAATTACAAAAAGAGTAAATGGACTAAAAGCTCCAGTTAAAAAAAAATACCAAGATTGTCTGAACATATTTTTAAGTGTCTAACAGCTTTATTGATGTCTAATGTGCATTTATTAATTCACCCATTCTAAGTATATAGCTCAATAAGTTTTAGTAAATTTATACATTTGTGCAACTACCACAATCCAGTTTTGGAATCCTTCCATCATTCCAAAAAATTCCCTCGTATTGCTTGCAATCAATCCCCATTCCTACCTTGAGCCCTTAGCAAACAATGCTCTATCTCTATACTTTTGTCTTTTCTGAACATTCCATATAAATGGAATCATATGTAGTCATATGTATCTAACTTCTTTTACTTAGCACAATTGGTTTGAGAGTCTTACGTGTATATGTGTATGTATCAGTGTGCTATCCCTTTTTAGTGCTGGGTCGCATTACATTGTATCAATGTACCACATTTTGTTTACCCACTCACTACTTAATAGACAGTTGGAATTGTTTCCAGTTTGGGATATTATGAATAGAGCTTCTGTAAATATTGCCATGCAAGTTTTCTTGAGAATATATGTTTCCATTTCTCCTGAGTAGACACTTAGGAGTGGGAATGCTGGGTTATTTGGTAAATACATGTTTAACTTTATTCAGAAGTTGTTTTCCAAAGTAGCTCCACCATATTACATTTTCACTAGCAATATGTGAGGGCTCCAGTTTCTCCTCATACTCATCAACCCTTAGAAGTGTCAGTCTTTTTAATTTCAGCTATTCTAGTGAGTGTGGAATGGTCTCTCATTGTGGCTTTATCCTGAATTTCCCTAATGACTAATTCTTGCCCATTTTTGCCAGTTCTTTTCATTGAGTTGTTCTCTTATGATTGAATTACAAGAATTCTCTACATATTCTGGGTATAAGTTATTTATCAGATTCATGTTTTGCAAATATCTTCTCCCACTCTATGGTTTGTCTTTTAATTTTCTTAATGCCACCTCTTAAAAAGAAAAAGTTTTAAATTTTGGTCAAGTCCATTTTACCATTGTTTACAAATTTTATCATTCCTGCTCTGCGAGTCATCAGAAGACTTTTTTAAAATGCAGTTACATATTTTATGCAAGATACATAAAGATACAGAATAATTGAAGGTAGAAAGATGGGAAAATATGGATGAAATATTAACAAAAAAAAAAACTGGGACAAATCAATGTTAATATCAGACCAAGCATTACTAGAAATCAAGAGGGTCACTAGGTTCAAATCAATATGTAACTGAAATAATCCTAGACCTATATGCATCTAAATCATATTAATCTGCAAAGAGAAATAAATAAGTCTACCACCATACTGAGAGATTTGTAACATTTATATCCTAGTAATTAATATTTCAAGGAAACAAAACAATAAACTAATATTCAAACACAATCAGTATATGAGTATAGAATAGGAATTCTACACCAACAACTAGATAATTCACAATCTTTTAGAAATCTCATGGAATATTTACAAACATGGACCATATCCTGCTGTAAGGTAAGTCTCAACAACTTTTCAAAGCACTGAATCATACAGACAACTTTCTCTAATCACATTGCAATTGAGTTAAAAAATCCATTTAAAAAAGATCATTAGAAAAGCCCAGCTGGATGCAGTGGCTCACACCTATAATCCCACACTTTGGGAGGCCAAGGTGAGAGGATTGCCTGAGGCCAGAGGTTCAAGACTAACCTGGACAACTTGATAAGATCTCATCTCCACAATAAATCAAGAAAAATTAGCTAGGCGTGGTGGCATGTGCCTGTAGTTCCAGCTATTTGGAAGGCTGAGCCAGAAGGATCTCGAGCCCAGCAGGTTGAGGCTATGGTGACAGTGAGCATGCCCCTGCATTCCAGCCTGGGCGACAGAGTGAGACTCCAACTCCACAAAAAAAAAAGAAGAAGAAAGAAAAGAAAGAAAAGTCCAAAATGTTTGAAAATAAGTAAGTATTCCTCTAAATAACTCTTGGGTCACAGAAGAAAGTATGATGAAAATTAGAAAACATTTAGAATTAACTAACAACAATAATGCTACAAATCAAAGTTTGTAGGCTCTAGCCAAAGCAGTACCGAGAACTGTATAGAATTTTCAATCTTCGGCTCTGTATTCTTTGCTTTATGCTGTTCCATAAGTTATATCATGTAACTTTGATGAATTTGTTTGAACACAACTGACCAAAGAGGTGTAGAAGAGGTTACTTTTATTTCGGCCTTAAGGCAAAACTTAATTATTGTCTTGTATTGATTCATCTCAGAACTTTCTTGGGGCAACATTGAGAGTCCATTAATAACATCCTCAACTCCTGATGGATACCTCAGATCAACAGCAGCGGGTGAAGAAGCCTCTCTCTCCTGAGAGGGACAACAGCACTCAGGGTGCCCTTGATATCAGTGATTATGTCTAGTGAGTTAACTGAAGAGGAGAACATGGGGGGGAATGTTGGTCTGTAGAGAGAGTTGAAGGCTCCTCTTCACTGGCAGGCCCTCACGACCACCCATCCCCACTGTACTCCACACACAAAAATGGAAGAGACAGAGGAGACAGGGAGGGGGATTGACTCCTTATATTTCTTTGTAGATGATCATTCCTGCCCATGTCAAAAGCTAGGTCAAAACCTAGGGCATGTTTGAGCCAACGTGCTAGCGGAGATTTTATTGTTGTTTGGAATACTAACATTAAAACTGAACCCTCAGTCGGACTTGGTGGCTCAGCCTGTAATCCCGCGCATTTGGGAGGCTGAGGTGAGTGGATTGCCTGAGCCCGCGGGTTCGAGACCCGCCTGGGCAGCGAGACCTCATCTCTACAATAAATCAAAAAATCAGCTGGGTGTGGTAGCATGCGTCTGTAGTTCCAGCTACTTGGAAGGCTGAGGCAGAAGGATCACCGGAGCCCAGCAGGTCAAGGCTGCGGTGGCCGGGAGTGGCCACTGCACTCCAGTATGGGCGACAGAGTAAGACTCCAACTCAAAAAAAAAAAAAAAAAAAAAAAGTTTCTTGTCTCTTGAGGATAGAGAACAAGCTCTACTTCTGAGCTGCCCTCCCCTGAGAAGCCCAAGATAGGCACTTAGACAACTCTGATCTGAAATCTAGGAATTGCAGCAAACACTTGGTTTTTCTTGGAGAGAACAACTAAGGATGCAACTCAGCTCACTTTTAGTGTTATAGACTTTATGCACAAGCAAATTAGTCATCCATATGTATCAGGTCAGAACACCAGGGAGAAAACCCACCTTGAGACTGGAAGAAAGGCTTCAGCTCATAGAGAGTTTCCATCCAGCTCCTTCTCTTAATTTCTGCATTCTCAACACACACCCAGGGGCCTGAATCAGGTTGCCTTAGTCACCACATACCTCTTTGCTCTCCTTAAGGAGACCTAGTTCCAGCTATTGCATCTATTTCAACAATCCCCAAGACCATGCGCACATCTGGAGAATCACTAGAAGGAGTCAGGATATAGCAACCCTCATGGTGGAGGGTTATTATGGTGAAAGCATACATGACAGGATCCGCAAGAGAAAAGGACATAGGCAGAGTCTGGAGAAATCCATACACAGGCTTCCAATGTTCTCTCTTTCCTCTGGGGAGACACATGGAACATGTTCCTTTTTTTTCCCCCCCCAGTGAAAAATTCAGTAATGTGTGTGCAACACTTCTGCCTGAGGAAGAGACTTAGAGTTCAAGGTTTTTATTGTTGATTGGTTATATTGGCTCCCTCTGCCTAGCAATAATCAGAATTCCAAACTCAAAGAAGAAAAGCGGGTGTTCAGCATAAATCACATTGTTTGCACAATCTATACAGTGAATTATTCTTATCGGCTAGGGAGTGGGTCAAGTGCCAAGTTCCTAGGCACAAGCCAAGGGCCA